AGGTCGCGACTTAGGACTCAGGAAACAGCGCAGAGGCGCGATTTAGAACTAAGCAAGCAGCAGATAATCGCGATTTAGGATTCAGGGGACAGCATCGAACCACGACTTCGGAATAAGGAAACACCGCAGGATCGCTAATCAGGAACAAGGAAACAGCAGAGAATCGCGATTCAGGAACATGCAATAATAATGACTCCGTCTGGGCGGTCTGGAACGTCTGGGCCGTCTGGGCCGGCTGGATCATCTGGGCCGTCTGGGCCGTCTGGGCCGTCTGGGTCGTCTGGGCCGTCTGGGCCGTCTGGGCTGTTGGAAACGTCTGGGCCGTCTCGGCCGTCCGGGCCGTCTTGGCCGTCTGGGCTGTCTGGGCCGTCTGGGCCGCGTCTGGGTCGCCTGGGCCGTTTGGGCCGTCTGGGCCCGTCTGGGCCATCTGGGCCGTCCGGGCTGTCTGGGCCATCGGCTGTTCAGGACGTCTGGAACGCCTTGGTCGTCTGGTCCGTCCAGGTCGTTTGGGCTGCCTAACGCACGCATGTTCTTTCTCCCCGCATGCGGGGCCGCCGGCCACGGTGTCCGCGTGACCCCCTGGTCGTTCTGGTCGGTCGCGGTCTCCAGGCTGAGCAACGCAAGCGCGCCCCCTCCCGTGGATCATCCCCATGCTTTTTCTTCCTTTCATGGGCCACTGCCCTTGTCGGCTCGCAGGCATTGGCATGCGCGCACGAGTGCCGGAACACTGGAGGAACGTAGAACCTGCATCATCGCCCTTTCTTCATCGTTGCCGCGTTTTCCGACGGATGCCCATGCAGAAGGGGCCGGGCCTTTCGGTCAGCCCTGCCCTCTCACAGGTGCTCAGTTCTTTCTTTTCTAATTAGTCTCTCTCGCGTTCGACAATTCTCGCGCGGCGGGGCTCCAGATCTGCCCTGTTGGCGACCTCCTCGCCTCCATGGTGGAAAACATTCGCCGGTCCACCAGTCCACCGGTCCACCGGTCCGCCGCGGTCCACCGCGGTCCACGGGTCCACCGGTCCACCGGTCCGCCGGTCCGCCTATCCGCCGGTCCGCCAGTCCACCAGTCCGCCGGTCCACCAGTCCGCTGGTCCGCTGGTTTGCCGGTCCGCGGGTCCGCCGGTCCACCAGTCCGCCGGTCCGCCGGTCCGCCGGTCCGCCGGTCCGCCGGTCCGGTCCGCTGGTCCACCGGTCCACCGGTCCACCAGTCCACCGGTCCACCGGTCCGCCGGTCCGCCAGTCCGCCGGTCCTCCGGTCCGCCAGTCCGCCGGTCCACCGGTTCACCGGTCCACCGGTCCGCCGGTCCGCCATGGTCCACCCGTCCACCGGTCCACTGGTCCACCGGTCCACCGGTCCGCTGGTCCTGTGGTCCGCGGGTCCCCGGGTCCGCCGGTCCGCAGTCCGTATCATCATCATCGTCATCATCGCCTTCGTGATCGCCATGAGCAGCACCACCATCATCAGCACCACCAGCATCACCATTACCGTCACCACCATCCTTATCCTTATCGCTTCCTCACAGGAAGTGGTTTTCGCAAGTGGACTGCGGCGCTCGCAGGCTGCCTTCGCCGTGTGGCGGCCATGAGAACACTATAGTGCTCTCAGGAACGCTGTGGTACTGTTAGACGCAGGTTGTCGGTCGCACTTACGATGTGGTGTTCTTGGGCACGTTGCGTTCGCGTGTTCGCGGGTTGCTGGGTACCCACGGGCACACTGCTGGCAATGCCACCTTCTTGAATACTGTTGTGCGCACGCGTGGGGCTCGCAGGCGATGGTGGCTCTGGTAGGGTCTGTCTGCGATCGCCTGGCGGTCGCAAGCATTTCTTTGTGCTTCCGCTCCCAGACACGTTGCGGCACTCGCGGGCACATGCGGGCGACCACAACGATTGACTCAGTGAGAGGTTTCGACATATTATTCATACTATTCTGCATAGTGCGCAAGGCCATTCGCAGACTGCTGCGATACTGGCAGGGTCCAGTTTCCTTCGCCGTATTGCAGTGCCAAGCTTATTTGTGGTGACACGTCACGATTCGTGGACACAGCCACCCTGTGGTGGCCTCAGACGCGCTGTGGCTCCTGCAGGCCAGGCGATTGTGAGGCTTGCAGGCATGCCGTGGTGTTCGTAGGCAAATGGTTGCGGTGCTCGTTGCGCGCTCCCGTCGTGAGGTGGTCACCGCGGCTTCCACCCCCAGATCACGTTTTCTTGCGAGAATGCACTCCCCAGGACTACTTCAAGCCGCTGGTATCAGGGCTACATGTGGCGGGATCCGGACTGCCGATGTCGCAGGAGGTTGAGGTGCCTTGGATGGATGTCGGGAAGCGCCCGTTCCAAGTAAAAGAGGTTTTTCTGGACGATTTTGGCACCACATTCCCTAGCCTGAGCAAGCAGGGCAAGGCTCGCGTTGCTGCCATTGGTAAGCAATTCGCAGAGGGCAAGCTTGCCACTGCGAACGCCAATGTGCTCTCGCAGCACGTCGACAATTCTGTGGACCTGCTCGTAGAGCTAGCCGCGCTCTTGGCGGAACCAGGGTGCACTATTCTGGTGTTCTTGCCAGGCTTGTCGGACATTTCCCTTGTGTACGCCGCAGCCCAGGACAAGGCTCACTCATGGACCCGCGCAGGGCTGAACATCAAGGTATTTGGCATGCACTCCGAGATCCCACAGGAGGACATGCAGGGTGCATTCGACCCCCCCGACCAGAGCAGTGCCCACATCGTGTTCGCGTCCAACATAGCCGAGAGCTCCCTAACGTTGCCGAACGTAGCTGCCACCTTGGACGTCGGTTTGCACCGGCGGATGCAGTACAACTGGAAGCGGAAGTCTTTCGTGCTGAGCACCACTTGGACCAGCAAGGCCTCGGCAACCCAGCGCAGCGGCCGCGCGGGCCGCACAAGGAATGGGACTGGCGTGCGGCTGTACACGAAAAGTTTCCACGAGGGACTGGCCAAGTTCGACCGCCCAGATATCCTCGAGGCGCCGATACCTAAGCTTTATCTGGAGGGCCTCGGCCGCTGCCGCCAGCACCCTGCCCCAGAGGCATCGAGTGATCTCCCGTCGCGGTCGTCATCGCCGTCGCCGTCGTCGTCGTCGTCGCCGTCCCCATCGTGCCCATCATTTTCCTGCTCGGGGTTCTTGCGGGTCCCTCGGACCTCTTTCCCGGGCCGTCCACGACTTCGACTCCTTGGGGTTCCATTGTGTTTATCCTAGCCGGCCGCTCCGCGGTTGATCATGAGTGTCTGTATATAGAAAGGGAGCGTGCGTTCGAGGGCGAGAGGTGGATGAGCGGGAAGCGGTGGCGCGGAGGTCGAGGATGAGGGGGGTGAAGATCAGGAGGGCGAGGCTCGCGAGGTGGAGGATCAGGAGAGAGGGTCACGCCAGTGAGGATCAGGCGAGCGTGGAGCAGGAAGGTGAGGATGTGGAGAACGAGGGTCAGGAGAGGGAGGATGAGGAGAATGAAGATCAGCATGGTGAGGATCGGGCGTGTGTGGAGCAGGAAAGGGAGGATCAGCACAGTGAGGATCGGCAGAGTGAGCATCACGAGGAGATCGAGGATCAAGATAATGAGAAAGCGCATGAGGATGGTGAAGATCAGGATCGTCCCTGGCAAGGCTCGCCCTAGAAGAGGGGTTTGGACTTATAGACTGCAGCAAGGATTTGCGTTAGAAGACTACTTAGTCTGGCTCACGGGGCCGAAGGCTCGAAATGTCCGCTCGGGTTCTCCATCTGGGCCCCCTCTTGGGGCCGCCTTTGGGTTCTCTTGGGCCGCCTTGGGCGCCTCTTGGCCCGTCTTGGGGCCCGTCTTGGGGCGATCTCGGGACTTCTGGGGCCGTCTTGGGGCAATATTGGGGGCCGCGTGGGCAGTCGTGGAGCGTCGGAAAGCCGAAAAGGCGACAAGGCCAAAACCTTCAAACGCGTAAGGAAAATCAGAAATCCATGATTTGCGCCTCTTGAAGCCCTCTTGGGACGCCTCTTGGAGCACTCTTGGGACGTCTTCGGGGCCTCTTGGGCCGTGTTGGGGCCATCTTGGGCGTATTGGGGCACTCTGGGGCCTGCTCGGAGGCAACTTCGGCCCTCTTAGGCGCTTTTTGGGCCCATGTTTGGCCGGCTGCGCTGCCGGAGGACGCGCGCGACACGCCCGGAGAATCCTGGGGAATCCCTTCAAATCCCAGGGAATCCCCGGACATCCCCGGGAAGCCCTGGAAATCCTTCTGAAATCGGTGGCCGAGGCCCTTGAATTTTTCCAACCGCCCTGTGGTGTTGGGTTTTCGTTTTGAAGAGACGGTCCCCGTGTTCCTCCTCCTCCCGATGCCCCCTCCTCCCTCATCTCCCATCCGCGCCTCTCCTCCCAAAGGGTTCTCCATAGGGGTCTCTACCGAAGGCCCCAGTGGCAGGGTTCGCATGCGGTTCCCTGCCCACTCCAGGTCCATTTCGGCACACCCCTCACACGGTTCGTGGCCCCAGAAGGAGCTCCAGCGAGGGCCCCGGCAGCAGGGTTCGCATGCGGTTCCCCGCCCACCGCGCGTTCATTTCGGCACACTCCTCACACGGTTCGTGGCCCCAGAGGGAGCTCTACCGAAGGCCCAGTGGCAGGGTTCGCAGGCAGTTCTCCGCCCACCGCGCGTTCATTTCGGCACACCTCTCACATGGTTCGTGGCCCCACATAGGGATCTCCACCGAGGGCCCCGGCAGCAGGGTTCGCATGCGGTTCCCCGCCCACCCCAGGTCCATTTCGGCACACCCCTCAAACGGTTAGTGCCCTCATATGGAGCTCCACCGAAGGCCCCGGCAGCAGGGTTCGCATGCGGTTCCCCGCCCACTCCAGATCCATTTAGGCACACCCCTCACACGGTTCGTGGCCTCATATGGAGCACCACCGAAGGCCCCAGTGGCAGGGTTCGCATGCGGTTCCCCGCCCACAGCGCGTCCATTTCGGCACACCCCCCACACGGGTCGTGGCCGTATAGGGATCTTTACCGAGGGCCCTGGCAGCAAGGTTCGCATGCGGTTCCCCGCCCACCGAATCTGCGTTTCCCCGCCCAGTACAGCGTTTAGTGGCCGCAGAGGGATCTTCACGGAAGAGGATAACTACCCACATTTGCGGTAGCCACAATTGCATATGGCTGGGTTTTTCGCAAAGTTATTTCTACAACCCTGCAGTTTTGAATTCTTCAGGCTGGATGATCCTTCGGCCCCTACGCTACGTGCAGCAGGCACGGTGGCGGACTTCCACAACATAGATTTCAGCACCACAACAACAGCATAATTCAAGCATCCTCATACGGAGGATATCTGGATTTCACTAGCTTCCCCCGAACCCCTCTCACGGGACACCCCCAGGACCTTCCCCCGCCCGTGCGGGGACTGCATCAAGGGAAGGGGTTTCCGGCTTCCCTCCGATCTAGTTGCGACTGCGACTGCGACTTGGCTCGACTCTCTTCACGTTGACGAGCTTGGCGCGCCACAGAGGGTCTCGGCGGAGAGACCCCCGGGAATGAGCGAAGGAGTCGAACGAAAAATTGTCTCTGAAGACCACCCGGGGGCGGCGGACCCAGACACATACCCAGACCCCCTCGAGTCAGGAAAAAATCACGACGCGAGGTTTTTCGCGATTTTCGGCCTCTGGGGACCCTTGCCGGCCCTCAGGACCGTCAAAAAACGACTCGGGATGAAAAGCCGGTCCCGGGGACTGGGTCCGGACTTTTGGGGGTCGCGTCATGGAAAAATCATGACGTCGGGGGTCTGGGTACGCTGACAGGATCAGCGGAGTTGTTTCCAGACGTGCTGCGGGGCACATTCGTTTCAAATATCTGCTTCGATATGCAGCATGATGTCTCGTGTCGCAGTTTCCCTGGACGTCCTATGGTACACGTCATGTGTCCCCCGTCCCACGACGTCCTGTGGCACACGTGTGCCCAGACGCCATGCGTTACGTGTATGTCTTGTGTCGCTGATTATGTGCCTCATGATGTCCCCGAATGCCCCGTGTTTACTGTTGATCTGTATCCTAAGGGACGTATTGCAAGAACATGGTTCTAGACGTCCTGCGGTGGATGTGTTCCCAACCGCGCATATTTCGTGAGTTTGTTGGATACTTTTTGCCAGGGTATCCCACAGGACGTCTTGCGGCACTGATGTGTCCAGACGTCGCGTGATACGGCCATGTGGCAGATTCGTCAATCAACAATATGTGATCAAGTTCCCCTGATTTGTTGGGGTAGTGAAACACTTAGAACGTCCTGTGGAGTACGTCGGTCGATGCTTGCCCCCACGTTTTCTTGTACATGCGTCCCCAGAAATACAGTCATGCGTGTATGTCTACGTTGTGTCTGCCATACTATGCACAGGACGTAATGCGGTATAGTTGTATTCAGAAGTCTTCCCGCACGTCATGTTGCACATTGTCCTTCGAGTGGCGGTCGATCGAACAGTAGTGGCGATAAGCATGATTACCCACCCTTCTGCGCATGTCCCACCGTACGAGACGGCGACGATGCACATAGATGCGGGACAGCATTTCATTCTGCCACGTTGACGCAACAGCACTTCAGCCAATGAGGCGTGACGGCTCACGGACTGGAGGTCCCACCAGGGAACCGACGAATCTGCAGGCCAAGGAGCTATCACGCGAGCTGGAAGTGCTCCCGCGATCCGCCACCGAGGTGCTGCAGCAGCTGCCAGACCCGCCCGAGCTGCATGCCGTGGAGGAGACGCTGAAGGACCTCGCCCGGCTCGGCGCCATCGATGGGGCCAGCGACGAGGCCGCGCTTACCCCGATCGGCCGCGTGTGCCTATCGCTGCCGCTGGACCTGCACACCTGCAGGCTCGTCTGGCTGGGCTGCCTGTGGGGCTGCGCGGCGGACGCCGTCGTCCTCGCCTGCTGCATGGGCTCCGTGCAGGACGCGGCGCCTCGCCGTGGGGGGCGGGCGGGAGAGACCATGAGATCACGATCCGAGGGAAATGGGGTCGTGATCCAGTTGTTTTCGAGGTTCCCACGCCACCAGAAATTGGATCACTATCCGCTCGTTTGGGTTCCGTCGGAGAGCAGTGTGGGGAGGCCCCGAAGAGACATCCAGACGGCCCCAACAGGGGCCGCCAAGGCACCGAAGAGGCCCCCAGGCGGCCCCCAAGTGAATCGCGATCCAATTGTTCCGGGCGGGGGGGCGCCTGGGGTTTGGGGGGTCTGGGCCCAGAGAGTCGGAAGGGAGAGTCGGAGAGGAGAGTCGGACCGAGTCGGAGAGGAGAGTCGGAGAGGGGCGTCGGAGAGGGGAGTCGGAAAGGAGCGTCGGAGTCGAGAGTCTGAGATGAAAATCGGAGACGAGAGTCGGAGACGACAGCCGGACGAGAGTCGGAGGCGAGAGTGGCAGACTAGAGTCGGAGACGAACATCGGAGAGGAGCGTCGGAGGCGAGAGCGGGAGACGAACATCGGAGACGAGAGTCGGAGACGACAGCTGGCCGAGAGTCGGAGAGGAGAGCCGGAGAGGAGGGTCGGAGAGGAGAGTCGGAGAGGAGACTAGAATCGGAGACGAACATCGGACACGAACATCGGGGGCGAGAGTCGGACAGGAGAGTCGGAGGCGAGAGTGGGAGACGAACATCAGAGGCGAAAGTCGGAGGCGACAGCTGGACGGGAGTCGGGGACAATAGTCGGAGAGGAGAGTCGCAGAGGAGAGTCGGAGAGGAGAGTCGGACAGGAGAGCCGGAGACTAGAGTCGGAGACGAAGATCGGAGGCGACAGTCGGAGACGATAGTTGGACGTGAGTTGGAGAGAAAGCCGGAAACGAGAGTCGGAGAGGAGAGTCGGAGAGGGGAGTCGGAGGCGAGAGTCGGAGAGGAGCGTCGGAGTCGAGAGTCGTAGCGCAGAGTCGGAGACGAGAGTGGGAGACGACAGCTGGACGAGAGTCGGAAAGGAGAGTCGGAGGGGAGTGTCGGAGAGGAGAGTCGGTGAGGAGAGTCGGAGGAGACAGTCGGAGCGGAGAGGAGAGTCGGAGAGTAGAGTTGCAAAAGAGAGTCGGAGAGGAGAGGCGGAGGCGAGAGCGGGAGGCGGAAGTCGGAGAGGAGAGCCGGAGAGGAGAGTCGGGGACGAGAGTCGGAGACGAGCATTGGAGCCGAGAGTCGGAGACATGAAACGAGTGTCGGAGACAAGTGTCGGAAATGAGGGTCGGGCAGCAGAATCGGAGACGAGAGTGTTGTTCCGGGAACTCCAGCAAATGGTGTCATATCAGTGTTATGCCCGCGTGTTGTTTGGGTATTGTCTCGGTGCTGCTTGGGGCATACAGCAGGATCGTTGCGTATGTTCTGAGCCCTCTTCGGGTGCGGTTTGGTTGTTGTCTAGGATACAGTATGTGTGTTGTCTCACGGGTGTCGAAAGACTTATCTTCGTATTGCCTCGGGGGCTGTCTGCAATGGTTTGCGGGAGGGGGGTCAGGTTTGTCCGAGCTGCTGCGAGGATGCTGTCTGGAAAGCTGGCTGTGTAATGTCTGTGTGCTGTGTGGATCTTGTCACGGTGCTGTATGGGCCAGTGTCTCAGAACCGTTGTTGTGTTGTCATCGTGCTCTGCGTGTACAGTGTGGGAATCGCTTGGAAGTGTCCGAGGTATGTGTGCTGTCTTGACTGCTGTATCATTCATCTGCTCCGTGCGATGAGGCTGGCTATGGTTGTTTGATGCTGTATGAGTTGGTGCCGTTCTCTCCCCGCTCGCTCTTTGCCGCCCTCTGACGCCACCCGCCGCCACAACTGCGTTTCAGGATCGTCGCTTCGTCGTCGTTCCCTTCCCCCTTTGCCCTCCCTCATCCTATCATTTCAGCTGAACGTGTTATTGCGTTTTGAGAAGCATGTCTGGTATACCCATTGTGGGCGACGAGACTGGTACACTGACGTCCCCATTATATTATACTCTTGCCGGGAAGCGTATCCTACTGGCAAAATATTGATTACCAACAGAAAAACTCTAATGATGTGTTGGACATGTAAATGGCCGCGATCGATGATGTCAACACGCTTGTTCCATTGGGGATTGCGCAAGATCACCCGAACAGTTCGCCCAATGATGCTTCAGGCCATATTTCCCCAAGTGTTCCTATTATGCCATCGATGGATGGTCCTTTGCTGTTTCGAGGGGGGCAGCAAATTGCCGCCAGCTCAACCAGTGAAGGGGGGAATGGAATTTGATCAACAACTTTCAGCTATCCTGAAACATGAAGATCTGAATGAGATGAATCAGAAGTGTCACAGCTTTGGTCATACCCCAGACGGATCCAACAAGGGACAGCACGGGAGAGACTGCTGAAGCCAAACGCCCGAAGATGCCCGAGGATGTAAGCATGGAACATGCATCATGTCATGCAGGCCTCCAGCTTGGCAGCAGGACGAACTGACGAACGGCAGTGTCCAGCTACACATGAACTTCCGGAGGTACTCGATCCCAATGTTGCTGCCACGTACTGCCGTCAGGAAATCCGTATCCAGATCGCCGCTATCATCCAGAATGCGTACCGGACCGGGAATCATTCAACGATCTTGTCGTTCGGCCGTGCGACCTCGACGTTACCCACTAGCTGAGAATATATGCCCGGGATGGCACGTAACAGACAAGGTCCGCGCCATCGGCCTGTATGCGGAGATTGCTCACACGTCTGCCGGTTTTGTGAGATCACTTGGTTTGGTTCTGAAGGCACAGACACAAATGAACACACACTTGTCGCCACCCTGTTTTTGTCAGAACGGCAGCTAACAGAGCCAGAGAAGGTGTCAGCCAATGGAAACACACTTCGCGAGGAACTGGTTGCGCAAGTTCGTATGTTTTTGAGCTACGAAAGATGCACAAATCTGGTTGATTTATAACAAGGAGGAGACTCTTCCGCACGCAACACAGCAGGCTCATCTGGGCAGATAGAAAGCAGCGTAAACATTTCAGCGAACTCAGACAGAAAAGGAAAACATCATCCAGACAAGGAGGCCGGCGGCGAAGCCCTCAAGGGTCTTGACTGCTCCGCACTCCCCACCCATATTCTCACACAAAAACTCGATTCGGACGGCGACGACGTTATCTTCTTAACGCTGCTCATCATAGCGGACACATGCTGACGCATTCGCTGTCGTATCAACGTTGTGCTATGGAGACGGCAGTTGCGTCGATATGATGGGATTGCGTGGAGGGCCTGGCGGCGGGCCGCAGCTTGCCTTCAAGGGGCGATTCGCTTCAGGAGACAAACTCGACCAATGAATCCACATTGGACCAGGCAGCGCAAAGGGACACGAAGCCGTGGAGCACTACCTCAACGCGTGTTCCGTCACACCTGTGACACCACAGCCATTTTGCAGGACCATGGGACGACCGTCCTATTTCAAGTCTGAGACAAACTCTGACACATGGTTTGGGCACCATAGAGATGACCTCCCGAGCGCTCCTGTATGTGAAAAAGGTCGCCGTCAGACAGGACGAGCGAAGATGGCTCCTTCGAAGAGAGCCATAACAGATTGCCCTATGGGCGACCCGAACCAAGCTCAAGGTCATTTGCAAAAAGATTACCGACCAATGCTCAACATAGCTGCGGGGCTTCGAGGGCGCGCGCATCCGGAAACCATCGGAGATGGTGGCCAACAACACAGCAGTATTTGATTTTTTTATGTCATGAGGTGTAAGGGCCATCGTAAACATGCACAGGTATGCAAACAATAACTGTCACGAGCGGCTAAGTGAACGCTACAGATGCAATCCCTGATCGTAGACGCGGTTCGGAGTGCAAAAGACTTTCTTGCTTCGGGCCGTGATCTTTTGCAGGGCGCACGAAGGCACTGCTGGTGTGGTCCATTGTGCTGGCTTCGGCCCAGATGGCCCGGGATGCCCCGCGTGCGTCGGCAATGTGCAAACGGTCTAACCAAGACACAACCGCAACCCACGACAGCGATGCGGGATTGACAAGGCATCCCTTATCTGGAGACGCCCAAGCTGCAAAAAAAAGAAAACAACGATCAGGGCAACTTGCTAAAGCAAGGCAAACATAGATTTGCGAACCCTTGGAATTTAGTTGGAAACTACTGCCAATGCCCACCGGCGACGCGCGCGCCGGCCCCAGCACCATCTGCGCCAACATCAAAACCCGCGCAATCCAGCGCGCGGCCACGTGCGCCACCGCCTGCGCGTCCAAACCCTGGCGGGGGGCGATCCAACGGCAGGCGCCTGCATCTTCGATGTGGCCCGAGGAGTTCACGGTGATCGCAATGGTGGCGCGCGCGGGTCGCCACTTTTGAAACGCGCCACAGCGGCCTTCGACATGCGCTGCGCGTCGCGGGGGGGGGGGGGGAGCTCGCAACACTTAACATATCTTGTGTTTTTGCTTTACGCTACAACCCCAGGGATTATTTGCGCGCGGTGCCTTATACATCGCGCAGCGGTGAACTTCCACATCGAGACCCGCGTCGCCGACGGCCCGCTTTTCCCCGGGGCCCGCCAGCGCCAAGTCGCGAGCAAGGGGCGGGCTCGACCGGGCACGGCCGCGAATGGAAGATCGCGCAGGTAAGATGATGCCGTCGCGCAGGCCATTGCGCTGGCCTAGGCTAACCGAGCCTTGCGCGCCGCAGCGACCCCAGCTGGGCTGCGCGACTATGCGCCAGGTGATCTCGTAAACAACCACCGACCTACCACCGCCAGGGCGACGGGGGAGGATAGAACGGATCATACCTGGATAATGCGGAATTGCTCAGACTGAGGTCAGGCAGTCGATGGGGTCGGCGGCCGATGGGCTCATCGTCGCGAGATCGGCCCCAGCGCGACGGCCTGCGCGCGCCGCGCTGGCCGTCGTCGCGATTGCCCGCGGGGAAACCTTCCAGGGGCACCTGCGGGCGGCCGCGGCGAGCGGATTTTTGCAGGGGTACATCTAGCTTTGCAGTTTCTTATGT